ATATATCTTCAATTAACTGTCCGAAACCAATGACCAATCAACATTTCAATTAATTCAATCATAGCACTGATAAATATATGAACCAAAAATGCACCTAATTATATTTGCATATTAAATATATGCAGAAGGATTTAAAGTTGAATAATACAATACTTCAACGGCTGTTGCTGCATCATCTGCTGACTGGCGGTTATAAGCACGCAAATACTTCATTATGAGGTAATAATGAACAGATAATATTAATATTGATAATTCAGTGGGAATAGAACCATTAAAAAGCTGGAGGGATAACATCAATGATTAATATTCGCGATTATGATATAACGGCACACTAGACATAAATTCGATGTTTCTTCTATCTAAGGTATATTTATTATGCGATAGCTATCGAGGGGATGTGTACTGAGTACTGAGTACAGAGGCTTACATCTGAATCAATACAAAAGTATAAGCAAAGTTTATTATTGTATTTTTTGAACCCTTGACCTTAGTAGTATAATTAGTGCAGAACGGTGCTATTATTTTCTATTGACAGCATTAGTTAACTGCTTGAAAGGGATTTAGTTTAAAAAAAACATTACTTCAAATGTCCAATGTAATTAGTATTTTTTTAAGCAAAATGCGAACATTGTTGAATATTTGTACTTATACTATTTATTTCGTTTTATTTTTATTTAGGATTGCTGTTATTTTAATACATAGCTGTTCAAAAGACACAATTAGCATTAAAATTGAGATTTGGCTGCAATTTTTTCACCTTTTCTGTGTTTTTGCTTATACATATACAAAATATCTCGTAAACCTCGCTTTCTATTTTTATGAGATTCCAATTGTATTCCATTTTTATTTTGTCGGGTTTGTTGTTTGGTTGGTATTGTATTGGTAAAGATACAAAATTAATTTTATTTCTTGTATTTTATAACACTGTCTATTTTTTTGTGATATCGTGTATTTTTAGCAATGTTAGTCGGTTTTAAAAAGAGACAAATATCGAATTTCTAATGTACAGTACAGTATTAGCCGTACAGCTGATCACCCATAGTACTTAAAAAATATATTCATGAATTGTTGCGTGAGTTTTTCTTAAATGATGCAGTTAGCTAGTTATAAAAAATTTGTTTTAGTCCTAAGATTTTTTTCAATAATCACAGGAAGTTTAAAAACAAACAATACATTTTGACTGAAAAAACGAATAGCTTTGGTTATTTTCTAGAAAACGAGCGATAATCATTAAACGACACTAAACCACTTTTTTTAATGGAATAAATTGATTTTCAAATATTTGGAGTATTCAAGCTTTAATAACTTTCCATATTATATCTTAAATATGTTCGTATATTTTCGAACAAGCTCATAGTATTTTAAAGCATTTGAGGACAACTATATCAAAATGTCAGTGATCGATTTTTATAAAAGGAATCTCAGAGAAGCTACGTACTGAAAACTACTGATTTACAATCAACTATTTTCAGAAGCGTAAATATTTGACAGAATAAGCTCTGAAAATCCTTGAAAAGTAGAAACACTCTAAATCAAAAGTTTAAAATTAAATCTGTAAATTCAACTTGCACCCTAACCGGCGACCTTCAATTGAGAGGGTCTCTTGAAAAACCATGCGCTTGTAAAATCCACCAGTGCTTTTAGTAAATATAAGACCATATATTAAAAAGAAAATAGTTTTGCTTACAAAGGCATGAGGAAAAGTAAGAGTAGAGTAATTGTTTGTAGGACTTTTCGAAACGGAAATTTCGGCAAAGAGTCTTAAGCAAAACATTTATGGTTAGTCGAAAAGGAAATTATTTTCAAACTGCACAGGATGTTCAACAACAGCGCAAAACATATATTTTACAGAGAAATGAGAGTGGATTATTTTGTTTGGTAATTCCTACATCTGTTCGTTACTTAATTCTATATATCAATGCTTAACTAACTGAAAATATTCATTGAAACCAGCGAAAAATCAAAATTTGTTTATTCAATATTCAAAATTTTGTATGTCTTTTCACCATGCCTTTAGGTTTCCCTATACATTTTATAAAATGCGATTCAAAAATAAGTTTATAGCCATTACCCTTTTTGTAAAATATATAAGCAATATGATTTTGTTAACTAATGTGAACGAAATGTACAAAAACATGTCATTTGACAGATTTTTTAGTGCCTTTTTTGCAGCTTTTTGTCCATGTTAATTGTTTGCGCTTATTTACGCCTTCTTCTGTAAATGAATGGATAATATTGTAAAGAGTGAAAATTTGAAAATGGAAAGTTATTTTGCGAGTTTGTATAAAGACGGTAAGTTTTTTTAGCATGGAACTCTACGTATACGTCTCAAGGTATATTCGTAATTCCAAATTCTAGATACAGCGCGATAAGAAACATTACGCAACATGTTAAAACAACTTTGCATCAACAATACCTCAAAACGTTTGCAAATAAACCTAAACAACAAACAATAGCAGAATTTGTACAGTCAAGTTGTGGGTATAACAAACAATATTTTAATTTCGACTTATGCAAAGCATTTGTACAATCTGACATACCACTAAACAAGTTAGGTACGACATTCACACGGTGGATTTCGAACATTTTTGGAAATATGTTGCAACCAAAATGTACCAGATCAAAGCACGCTTCAAAAGAATTGTCACCGCCGTATTCAAAGATTATATATAAGAAATAAATACATTAGGGGGTAGCAAAAGCTTTTGTTTTACAGTAGACGAAACTACAGATTCTTGTGGTAGGTATGTTGCTAAACTTATTGATGTGCTTAATGAGGACGTTCCGCCAAAAACTTATTTAATTTGGTCGAAACAACTGAAAGCAACAAATAACACCACGTTCGTATGTGCCATATGAAAAAGTTTGCTAATGACTTGCGATGCTGCGCCTTATATGGTTAAAACTGCATCCAACCTTAAAGTTTTCTATCCAAACGCAATGCATTGAACGCGTTTGGCGCACGGACTTATCGAGTTGCACAAACCCTCGGCTTCAATTTCCTCTTGTCAATGATTTAATAAAAAAATGGCGAACGTTTAAATTTAAATTTAAGCGCCGTTAAGAGTGCAACTGTTCAGAGAGAGATTGCCCAACATTCCATCACCACCTGAACCAACGGTTGGGAACTTGGTTGGAGGCTCCTTTAACTACGACGAACATCTTCAAGATTCCAAAAATCTCACGTTAGAATTTCCAGACACTGCAAGTAAAGCCATACAAGATTGTCATGCCGTAGTAGAAAACACGGAACTGGCCAATAATCCTGCTTTTTATTAACAGTGATTTAAAGTCTGTAGGTGAAAATATTAAGAGAAACAACAAATGCTATTGGTAGAGTCGCTTTAAAAAAAATATTCACTTCAGCCATGCAATGGGGGCCATACTCCGGCCAATTGGTCAACTTCTACAAACAAAACTAAACGATGTTTTGTCAATAAACGAAGGATTTCAGAAGTTGAAAGATATTTCTTCGGTTTTAAATGGAAAATTTTTACAAAACCCAATTACGGATCCGGCAATGTTATCAAAATTACCCTAAAACAAGTGTAGACGTGGAGAGAAGTTTTTCTACTTATAAAAATATTCTTAGTGATAGACGGCAAAATTTTACTATAGAACATTTAGTTATTTCGTGTTTGAAACAAAACAAAACAATAATTTCACTTATTTGTTTTTTCGTATTATTCAGACTAAATTTTAGTTTCATCCAAAACGATTTTGAAGTATGTAATTATAATAAATCTATTTAAGAAAACTTTGTTATTTCATTTCACATTTCATTGCATTAAATTTCATTTAAAACATTTAAAAAATATATGATTTTTACCCCACTGAAAGAATGTTGTGTATTTTTAAAGCTTTTTTACATATCATTATGCTTTTTGTGAGAAAAAGCGCTTTTTTCGAGGATTTTAGTGCTTTTTAATCCGGACTTTACTGATAATGCAGCGAAACTACATTTGCTGCTGTCGACGAATTGAATCATCCAAACTTTCAAAATATAATTTATATCTCGTACTAGACACGGGGCCTATCTATTGAAATTGACGCCCGCTTATCTAATATTCTGCCTACTGCAAAATATACAAGATAAACCATTGAAAGTAAGTGTTCGTTTCCGAAGTAAACAGTTTTAAACACGCGGTTTAATAGAAAACGCTTTTTACGGAAATTTTCCTGGCCTGATTATTAAAATATTCCTGAGCACCGGAATCTCATTCTTTTTTCATATTTTTTTGAACAAAAAAAATACAATTTGTACGCAAATATTTGTTATAAATAGGCTATAAAAAACATTGTTGAAATCTGATTGGAAATTTTGTCATCGCGAGAAAACTCCAATTCGAAATTTGGGTCATATTGAAGCATTTCAAAGAAACCAATGGATTTGGTTCGATCGTTAAATTTCAATCTTTACGGCCTGTATTTTAAAACCGTGCACTTCTGCACTAAACAAATTTGATTAAATCGTCACCCAGGGATTTGTGATTTCGGATTTTTGGATGTCGGATTTTTGACCGACACCCTGTATATTGCACAGAAACCGCAAAAAGCTTCTTACAAACCGTAAAAATACAAACAGATGTCAGTTAACGGTGAAATTGGTTCCATCCAAAATAAATAAGAATGTTGGAATTTGCTGTGGAAAATTCGAAATACATCTAAAGAAAATACTGTAAAATTTCATCGAAAAGCAAAATGAATTGACTGATTTTTATAGCAATGGCAACTGTAGTGAACGAAACTGTGCGACCATCAATAATGTATTAAACCAGACAAAGCAAATATGATTGATCGGTTGAGAGCAGTGAAAAGCAATTTAGGAGATGTCGCAAATTTACAAGAAAAAACCACACTTGCTGCTGTTCCGAAAAGCTCTCCTTCAAGATCTTACGAGTCCGCGCATCCCACAACAAAACGCGATTGTTGCCATAGACTTCGCGCCATTCGATACGCGAAGATCACACGCTCGACACTTCCGAGTCCGCATTAAATAAAAACAAAAAAAACACTTTGTAGCTTTCGAGCGAAAACAACTTATTACATTTCAATTTTTCAAGGTTTTTTCCTTTTCGCTGATTCTGAAAACAGGCGAATATGGTGCCAACTGATAACTGACTTACAGCGAAAAGCTATTTACATGCCGCAGATGCAAAACATTGCATTAGTGATCCAGCAAGTGTTGTGTTGCATCTGGAATAAGCAGTGACGTGTCGCTGTATCAAAGTCCTAAAATGTCGATCAATCGACCACATCCAAGCAAATAAAATAAAATAAACCGAAATCGTGCAATGAATACACAATGTCGTATGCTACGTATCAGCAAGAGTCTCTCAACAACACAGGCAAAGACTATGAAGAATACAGTGGTACCATGGTATGGTTCGTCATCTACATCATCCTCATCACAGTGACAGTGTTCGGCAACCTTTTGACTATTAGTGCTATTTTGTGCACCAGAAAGTTGAGCTCTATCATAGCCAATCAGTTCGTCTTCAGTTTGGCCGTGAGCGATTTGTTTGTCGGTCTCACCATCCCCTACCATATGGCTTTCTACATTGCCGAAAACTTTGGCACCGGAAAGCTCAACTGCTTACTCAGATTCGTTCTGATCTCATTCGCTTGCTCCAGCTCGATAAGTAACCTGCTGGTCATCGCAGCTGACCGATATGTTGCTATAGTGTATCCTCTTCACTACAACAGGTTGATAACTCGAAGAACTTCAATGTTTTTAACCATGTTCGCATGGAGTCTGAGTTTTACTGTGGCGGCAATTCCTTTAGTATGGAACGAGTGGCAACTGGGAATCAGTTGTGAAGTTTTTGATGTGATTCCGAACGACTACATAAACTATGTGCTTTGTCCTATGTTTGTGCTCATTTGGATCATGATGCTGTTGCTGTATTCGCGAATATGCCAGGAAGCTGCCGGTCACGCGAAGAGAATGAGGAATGTCAACAGCACTCAGAGTATAGTTACTCTACGAGATTTCAAAAGTTTCCAGGTAAAATTTTGCGCCTACTTTAATCATTGAATATTCGCTCTATGAAAATCATTGCAATAAATCGAAATGTATCTTCAATCTGAAATCATTGCAATGTGCTTCTAGCCAACGGATTTTATACCCTGACCTAAAAATATTAATTTACAGCAGCGAGTTAATATTATATGTTGAAATTGCAATCGATTGCAAATAGATATTTACATCAATCTATTTATAAATTAAATTTTTTTTTCAATTATCGTCACGTGCGACTATTACAATAATTGTCCTGGGCATCTGCATGTATAGTCTGAATGTTATCATAATTACTGATGTAATTATAATAATACAAGAGTAACAACTGTAATATTCTAGAGGACATTTCCAGATAAACGGTATAAATTATCTAGGAATTATTTTTAGAAAAATAATTTAAATATCAGCAAATTATAAATAGCTAGTTTCAATTGACCACTGCACTTTGTTAATCTATTTCGAGATCGCAATGTGCACAAAGTGAAGATGATGGCAAGGATATATTCTTCCTACAATATCTCTTATACAATGTACTGAAACAGAACATATACATGAAATTGTCGGCTGAATGAATGGCTATACAGAGTGATTCAATAGGAGATAAATTATTTTACATTAAAATTGTAAGCATCTATTTCTGGATTAGGATACACAGGCCGACAAAAGTTCATTTATAAATTAATAACTGTTTTATATTACAAAAACAGTTGTTGGAAGTTTGGCAGACTGCACTACACCATTAGCAGAAATATTTTGCAATAAAAATAAATTAAACTGTGATAACAGTGTCGCGTTTTTCAAATAGATCCTATGATTGTTTAAATTACTATACTAATTTAAACATCCTAGAAAAACGCGGTTTCCGAGAAATAAAAAAAATAATCTCAACCAAAACAAAACATTACATTGCACCACTAATTACTACACATTAAATGAGGTTTTCAAAGGTTGGGTTCAAACTTCGATACGCTATTAGACTCGACTCGACACGAAACGAAACTAAAAAGAAAGGAATAATATGCATAAAACTTACACGAAACAATTAGGCGGTTTCCCGTAATAGAAAAAGAAACGGAGGATTTTACAATATTTATTTTAGGAAAAAAGGGAAATAATCAAAGATCCAGACAAAAGATCGAGTTTAAATTACAATGGCGTGCAAAATACCTACAGCTACTTTTAAAATATGAAAAAAAAAGTACGTTTGTCGGCCATTATATCCTAAACAAAGTCTTTCGGCGCCTGAGGTATATAGGAACTTTTAGGCTTAACAATATACTGAAATATCTACACCACCTCTTGAAACACGTTGTATAAGCATTATTTGCTTTAAAACCGGAGAAGTAAAGAATCCTACGATTCTCATAAATCAGATTACATAACCCACTGAAATCCTCATAAATAAAATAAGAAAGACATGCAATCACCAATGATGACAAATTGAGCAGACGAATAAGACTGTAAAATATAGATTTCAAGAGGTCAAGGTTGGACAATGCTCGTAACAATTGTCAATACCTTGTTAGAATGACCAATGTTTAGTCTTAAAAACGAGCTGTTAAATGTGAACTTCAAACGTTACTCATGAATCATTTTAATGGCTTTAAGAATGCGTTTTTGTTCCCATTACAATTGCATGCCCGCTACAGGTTAGTGATTTACATTTTATGTCGTTCTACTTGGTTTATTTTTTTTCCTTAAAATCATGCCTTTGTTGCGCTGTTACAAAGAAATATGTTAAAGATATATTTACTGGCTGGCGTCGGTTTTTCAGTTTACTGGGAAATACCACCGCAGTAAAAAAACGTGCAGTTGTAAAATTAAAATGTTACGATAGGAAAACAGTATATCACGCTAATAAAATATGTGCAGTTTCCTGGGAACAATGGATATACTGGTATCTATAATAATTAGAAAAAGATACGATTTACCCGATAATTCTATTTCTGGAAAAACTATAATTTTGGCACATTTATAAATAATATCCCTTGTCAGCAACAAATAGTTCAGCAATTACCGAATAAATTTTAATACGATTTATCAATTCTTTAAATTATTCAATACTAAATTCCGAACTTACAGAAAGTAGGAAACAACGCTTGCTTTTTTTTGGCAAAATTGATTATTTTGTATGAATAATTTATTTACATACTAGGTATATCAATAATTTTTTTAAGTTGATTTTTTTCATGAAATAATGTAAAATTCTCTAATGAATTAGCAAAACGAAATCACATTTGTTGTCCTGTTTTACGCGGTATTATTAACTCATCCATAAATACTGCCTGCACTCGAGCGTGAAGTAGAACGACAATATAGATAGGCTTCGAGAAGAAATTGAACAAGAATTGAATAATACTAGCCAAGAACTCAAAAATACAACTGCACTAAGGTTATGACTAAATTGGCTCCTTAAAGAACACGATAAGTATAAACTTCAAAGTGAACTTGTACATGCGGCGGCATTCTATTTAAAGGCTGCTGCATGGAATTCAGTTAAACCAATGATTCATTGACATCAATGGATTATGTGTAAAAACACAAAAGTTTGGTAATTTAACATAAATTACTTTCACCAAGTTGCGTAGGCAAAACAGGAAAAATTGCCACTAAATCACCGGAGTTCTAATAAAACGCTCAATTAGGCAGACACGCGTTTTAAATTGCCGGAGGAAAGTAAAAGGATATCATTGATTTATTCAGGGTATGAGGTTACCAGGCCAATTATTTATTATATCCACATCCGAGATAATTGCAATTCAGCTTAAATTACTCAAAAATATATCCCTTAGATGCGTAGCAAGTTGAATATTTACGAATAACAGAGCAATTTCCATTAACCATGCTAATTTTGGGTGGTTTGGAAAGTTTCAACGGAAAAAGCAGGGAAAGGCTTTTGCCCGTTTGCATTGTAATCGGTCACGAAACAGACCTTAAAGTTGCGAAGTGACGTGCCAAGATAGAAATTAAATACTTTAATTAACTCGGGCTATTTTTACCACAAAAGTTCTCCTTTTTGGTCATTAAAATACATTTAAGCTCTTTCAGCCAGTTTATTTGCACACAGCCGTCAAAACGCATCTATGCTGTTGGACTAACAGCGCTGGATCAATTATCCACCCACTAATCTAATCAATCTCAATGTTTCCAACGGTGAATAATTTCAAGCCAAAATGTGTTTTATATTAGCACAGGTCATTGAAAATAAATAAATACGCGTCTTGACTTCTGAATATTATATTTAGCAGGATGGGGCATACCTTATTAATAATTTTAATGCAGCGGTGCAATTTAAAATTTGCATTAAGCGATAGGGCAAAGCAATAGTAAATTAATCTGATAAAAACGGTTGCATTCATTCGTTCTTTATTTATATTATTTAGTTAAATAACTGCTGGCTTAGTTAAGTTTTTTTAGACAAAAAGTTAAAAAATTTATGGGCATGTGCTAAAACGCTAAATATATAATCATCATAGACTAATCCGCTTAAATAAAATACAATTTAAATTCAGTTACTTATTTCAGGAAAAAAGTCGTTATGTTTAATTAAAAAAGCATTATTTGAGCAAAAGACCATCAATTAAATGGCGACTAAAGATCCGAATAAAAAATATTGTTATTACTACCCAAACCATAATTAAGGTTGTTTTTTTAACAATAATAAATCAGGTAATAAAACATTCTTCAATCCTTGAGCACTGTGTCGCAAAATAAAACAGTTCATTTTATAATTGGGCTATTACATACCATTCTTCTTTAACATTTGTAAACATTTCGCCTATAAATAGCATTCATTAATGAACGGGTAAATATTGAACAACTTTCACTCAATCATCTGATATTCTTGGCCTAGCAATATTTTTAAAAAAATTGTAGTCTGGTGTTTTTGTCTGAAAAAATGCTACTACGTAGGGGAATAATTAAACCGGAGATACAACACAACAACTAGTACTATGCTAATAAAAAGCAACTATTTTGATATCAAGGTTAATAATAATAGTACGTTAAAACAGTAGTTGTTTTTAGTAGCTATTCATCAATCAACTCTAACTGATAATCTTTCTGATCCCGATAATTTTCTCTTTAGTACACAAATCGGTTCTGAGTTGTAATGAAAAGTTTAATTAATCCGTTAGCAAATATTTAGACAAAAAAAATAACACATGGTTGTTTTTTCAGGTAATGCTGACGATTTTGGGCTGCTTTACGATTTGCTGGCTACCCTACCTAGTAATTGCCGTCTACAGTCGTCATCATAGAGCGGCAAAATCATCGTTTTACTACGAAGTGGCGTTTAATTTGGCAGTGGCCAATTCCGGCATGAACCCGATAATCTACGCATGGAAGAACCACAATTTTCGCGCATCGTTCCTGCAACTGATTCGCTGCAAATCGCCAAACGCACATCCTAGTGCGCAGTATGTGACCAATCATGTACCCAGCAAGAAAAGTTCTTTATCCAATGGTGCGTGCAATGCCGTTTTTGTGAATGGGGACGAAGACAAATGTGCCTCGATTTGTGATAAAATCGAGTTGACGAATAGCAACTCGGATAGAGGCAACATGAACGCGAATGAGATTGCAAAAGTCAATAATGTTCGTGCTGAAACTGTCTGAACTTGCATGCATGTAAGCAGAAATTGAACATGCATTAAAGCCGTCTGGAGCGAATAAATTTCCCTTTTAATGACCTCGAAGGTATCAATGGAAAACATTTCAAAAACCGTTGACAAGAAAATTGGATATCCTTCACCCGTCAGATCTACGATATGTTGGTGGAAAACACTTATTCAAACGTATTTAATTGAACTTTATATGGAAGTGAAACATTGTGAAAGGGCAAAACAATTTTTATCCAAGTAATAGTTTAAAGGTGCGACTTTTAATATTTGAACTGTCCGTTTTATTGATTCATATGTATATTCCACAATGATGGCAATTGGCCAAATACTGATGTATACTTGTAAATTCCATGAGCGGAATTAACCGTGCAATGTTGCTTTAGAGGTATTTCCTTTTGTAAATACAGATAATTACTCGAGTATTAAATGTGAATATTTACATAATGTATTGAACTGATGTGATATTATTTTGCTAAAGTATATTTAAGTTGCAATTATAATGGACTTGAAGTTTAGCAGTTTTTTTTTACTTGTATGTAGTATTCCATATTAAATACATTTCCAAACTACTGATTGATTTTGCCTTTAAACGCCCAATCACTTGCAAAAGTTAATCAAAAACAAATCAAATAATGAGATTAAAACCCAAATAAAGCAGCCTTCCGAGTTCATTTAGTTCTTTATATGTATCACCTGACGCAATATTGGGGAAAGACAAAGTTTGTAGCGCAATATATGTATTGGTCGACAACCTTCGAAATAATTTAGGTCAAAATAAGACCCTTCTCCCTGTCACGCTTTGCAGTTTTTCGCACGGAAATTCCAAGGGAATAAGAAGCGTAATTATCCAATACACTGAAATCAAAGCAAAGCTGCTTTCTAACTAGGAACACGAAAATTACAAAACTGCGTTTTGTAAAAGCCACCTTGGCGGTTTTAAAGCTCTGACTGAGAAGATAATAAAATATAAAACGGAAGTTTCGGCTTTACTTAAAATACGTTTAAAGCAATCGATCGACTAGATAAAACTAAGCCGAAAATTACCAGGAAATATTCGTATAGCTAAGTAGTTTGGAAACAATTTGACAAAGTTACCAAAATATGTTTCCTAGGAGTTGCTTTGCGACCATAATGAGAAGAAACATATCTAAAGGTTAAGGGATTTATAAGAAAAACTTATCACATCTCCAAATAAAATAAGAAAATTTAGTAATTGTTTCACCCGCTGCGCAAAATTTAGTTAACAAAATGCCGAATTTACCCAACTACTATTCAAATATTTAATTAACTTTCACGTGCTGAGTTGAGAACCTAATAAATGTATTAATCAAGCCGAGACAATCATCTGATAAATACTTGACACGTAGTAAATAAACACCAATACATACTTTACCAATAGAAGTGTTCAAATATTTAAAAATAAATTAATTTATATTATTCCGCTGACATGTTTGTAATCGCTCATTTCGATAATAAATGGGATTTACCTGCAGCTTAAATACATAATCAATTTCAATTATATAAACCGTCTTTCAATGCGGTCTATTCTCGGAATTAACCGGCTTGTATGCAAATTTCCTGAGGTTATAATCAAAATATTTGAAATCAAAGTACGAAGTGGAATTCATCAAGTCGATGTAGTCACGATGCTGCAAAAACATGGTAAATATTTAATATTCACTTCTTTGCGAGATTTAAATCTGAGAGCTAACAAGGGAGCACATCTGTTTTATTGGCTACTTAATCTCGACAAGATGCATTTCGTTGCATTAAAACACACAAGGATGGCAACAATATAAAAGTAATATACAAAATATAAAAATAATAAATGTCCAAGAAAGAAGCCAAATTCCTTCAAATAGACATTATAATAAAACCGTCAAGGGCAGAAAGACCATGCGGTCGATAGCTTTTTTCTTAGAAAATAAAGATTAGTAATATACAGGGTGATTAACAACCTTACGGACATAGAGCAGGGGCGTGTAGGGGACCTCAAAACAAGCAGAGTTTCCATTGAAGTTTTTTTCTCAGGCCCATGGTTAATGAGATACAGGGTGTTAAAGTTTAAAAAATATATTCGTATTTCCTCTTTAACTCCTACAATTTATAAGATATTTTGCTGAAATTTTAAAAGTAGGCTACTGTTTAGACCCTTTACCCGTAGGTAAATTTACAACGCGTTTTTTTTTCTAGAGGCATACCCCATTTTACCCCCCGAACTTTTTTGTGGTGCGCCATTGACTTGAAGCGAAGAAATTTTTTAATTTGTTGTTCATTTTAACATTATGTCTTCGTATCTGCCTTCGTTTTCTAGTTATTTTCACAATCAAAAGTCCATGTAGGGTTACTGGGTGACTTTGAATTTTCTAATAATTTTTTTGTCCTTTTGCTCATATTTTTGTAAAAGGCTTGAAGCCTTAGGACGCCTACATAAGAGCAAATTGTCCATCTTTTGACATAAAAATAACTGCTGAAAATGTCAAAGTGACAATTTTACGCCATTCTCGTTTATTTTTCTAATGGGTGGTCGGAGTGACACCTTGTTTTGAAGGTCTGTTCATGCTCTTGTCAACCTTAAATTTGTAGATCATTTGTTTCAGTGGTTTTCGAATGACCGATTGCCAATTAAATATCTGATGAGTGTGTTGTTTTTTCTAACGTTGTACAAAAATGTGTTTTTATCTTCACGCATCGACTTTACCATTGCCGGGCCGCAAACGGAAAAAAATTTGAACACTTAATAAAATAGAAGTCTTAAAAGTTAAGCGGTTTTTCTGATTTGGTAATTTTATTTGTTAAGTTTAAAAATATCTAGGTACTCTTAGAAAATGTGATAATTACAATTAGAGTGAAGTAGGTTTAGATAAATATCCAATTTTTAACAGCGTTGGAAAAAAGAACAAACTCATCAGATATTTAATTGGCAACCGGTGATTCCAAAACTACTGCAACTAGTGATCAACAAATGGACAGTTAAAGAGAGGATGAACAGACCTTCAAAACAAGGTTTCACTCGACCACGCATTCCACTAGAAAAAATAAACGGCCGGCAATTTTATGTCAAAAGATGGACAATTTGCTCTTACGTAGACGTGCCAAATTTTGTGACAATAGCTATAAAGGCTCAAAAAATAAAAGAGGGAGCTCATTATAGCCGCGGACACTGTATAAGTCTATCCCAGACTTATTAATTTCCTAAGGATCATTTTTATTATTATTAGTGTCGTAAATGGTTGGAGTTCAATATTTGCCGCATAGATATTCCAAATGCAATTGTAAAATTATCTTTGCAATAATGTAATAAAAAAGTCATTAAGTTCACGGCGCTGCTTCGTTTGCATATAAATGTTATCATTTTATTATTATGCATGAAATAAGGAAATGCCGGAAAAATACTGTGCTCAAATACAATTTTCCAATACTGATGAGAGATTAATGAAAGTGTGTCAGAACTGAATAAATATCATTGTAAACTTTAATAATCAGCCGAGTCTAAATAGGACGTACCCATTAAACAGAAACTGATAATTTTCTAAATGAAAAATATAGTTGCTGGCTGATTTTCAATGCATAATAAGTCGAGTTGAATGCAATGCAGCATCAACTGGTAAACAATTTAGAAAAATTTGAATATGCACTCACCTCGACTCCGGTAACTCCCAATGCGTCATTAATGTTGGGTGTCAATCTAAAAGGCACTTTTTCCGGAACTCGCAACGTTTTGCCCTTTTCGAAGCAAACATTATAGTCTATATGCACGACGTCTCCAGTTGAGAGATCTATCAACATGTTATCCAAGTGCCTGTCTCCCAACCCGATTATATAACCTGTAAAAAAATAGTTTTTTGTGCAGAAATCGTAATTTTATTGCGTGGTAATTTAATCTTTTATTTTCAAACATGCCAGAAAGTAGGAGTATTTCAACACTATGTAGGTTGGTATTAATAACTGCTACTTTCTTTAAGCTTCAAAAATTTATGACTCAAAAGAATAAACGAATTAAACGCTATAAAAAACCGATTGCAGATGAATGCGACTTACCAATAATGCTCATCACTGCAACGCTGTAGCAATATCTCTTCACAACCTGCCACCAGGCGTTTGCTGAAATTGAATTACACCACAACTCCTTAGAGATCAGATCGCTGGGAGTTTCGGCCATGAGTTCGCTCAACACTTCTTTGAGAACACTCAATGGCCACTCCTTTCTGTTATCTATATTTTTCACACCATGTTCCACTAGTTTATTGTAGAACAGCTCAGATGGTCTGGGCACTGTAACAGTACCTATCAAAAACAAATAAAAATATTCACACAGTTAGGACAGCTAACCTGTAGATGAAAACTTTGGGCTTAATAGAAACTTAATTAAATTTTCATGAGAATATCAATCGTTCTTACTTTTTGCAGTAGGTTTAGACATTTCCCGTTGTTGCCATCTTTTGTATAATGCGAAAACAGGTGTAGTGCCATCGACCCAGGATATTAGACCCGATCTGGGACCTGAAATTAAAAAAAACGCAGATTAACTTTAAAATCGATTGTGAAACAAATTACGAAAACACATACCTAGCGGAATAACCGAGTAGTGGCGAGCTCTATATAAATTATGGCCAGCCGGATCAGCATTTTGGGCCATCATAGTATTTGCGATGCTCAAAAATTGCATTATTCGCTCGTCCAAATGCAAATCTTCAAGACCCTATTAAACAAATGCCAAAATAAAAACTGTGAACCTCTAGAGATTTGCAAAAATCTACCTTGAATAAGTATGTATACGTTTGTCCGTCGGATCCATAGAAAACCAATTTTTTCGGCTTCGTTTTTGTTGGTAAGATGGAAACTATGTTGCTAACATGTGAAATAGTGGTGCTATTCTTGGCAGTCGTAGCCAAACCGGGCATAGCAATTAAGGTATTTTTGATCGAATGCAACACGGGCGATATATCCTGCATTTTCAAGGAATAGGACGCTCTCTTATGGAACTTTTGCTGGAACTTCTTCTGCAACTGCTTTAATGGGGCTAGAGAATCTTGAGGCTTTTCAGGATTTTCCGGATTGGTTAGTTTTTCTATAACCGTTTTGATGTCTTCCATATATTTTTCCTGGAAATGCCTTTCATGTGGCGTTTCCGGTTCGACACTGGTAACATCGTTCAATTGTTGTAGAACAAATATTACAGGTTTTGTGATGATTCGATGCTTTTCCATCATAAGAGTGGTTTTTTCTTCTTTCGACAAATTTGCATTTTCATTCACCTAAAATGGAATTGGAAAGTGTAACGAGGAAAATGTAACTTTTTAAATAGGAAATCAGTTAAAAAAAATGAAGAGTCTAGCAACACTAAAGACACACAAACAATCATTTCTGCTTTCAAACATATAAAGTGCATTTTTTAACTGTGAATAACAGTTATCTTTGCAATTTGAATAGTTCCTGACTAAAAATTACATTATCTGGTCAGTAAAGTGGAAAAAAATTCTTTGAAATATTTTTATTCGAAAACCTCTATTTTTCTCTAAAATAAACTACTTAGTAGAAACATGTTTGATTGATGATCAAGAGGGTTTCATACGATACAAATACAACGTTTTAAAGAAACGGAAAAATTTAAACGTTTCTCTGCAAAATAATCATAATAAGAATCTAATTATAAATTCAAATAGCTATTTAAACTAACAACACTAAGGTATCTATTTATTAGTGCTTTTAAATCATTCACTATCTTTTATGAACTGTATTGTGGCAGAGAAACGCACAAATTGGTAAAAACCTACTTTCAAAACAAAAGGGCAAATCTAAAATGCAAAGTGATAGTAGTTAACGTATACATAAGTACATAAGTAAATAGTTAATATTTTGCAAAATAGGGTCAGTTTGAAAAAGAATAAACAAAAATTTTACCTTCTCAATCTCATATTCCAACTGATGTTGCCTCTTAATAATCTCGGACTGATGTTGTGCTAACGTCCCAAGCCATAATTCGTCCCAAAGCAATGTAATCCTTCTCAGTTCCTTAACCAAAGTTTGAACTTGGGTAATCGTTTCGGGATCTTGCTTACTTAGTGTATCCACCATAGTTTTAAAGCAAATCTGAAGAGTGTTGTTGGTCCATCCTTCGTTTTCACTGTCGAAATTATCCTCATCGTTATCGAGATCGGTTTCTTCATTTTCGTCGTTATTTTGTGATAAGCAGTCCTTTGGAAGCTTAATTTCACTGAAGTCAAACTTGAGACCTCCTTCCAAAGCGCCAACAACTGCTGGAAACGTAATTAATTGCGGAGCATCTTCGGCGACACGGCATAATAAATCGGATACTCGGTGTCTGACGTAGCTTTCAGGATGATTGAGCCTTGAAAATAACTGAGGAATGATAACTTTCCAAGGTTCAGTTGGAGTAGCTTGTAAGCCTTCTTCTAAAATGTTTTGTAGCTCCAAAGCGTACTTAACGATCAATCGTAGGAGTCGGAGGGTTATGGTGATAGTCGTGCACTCGCTACTCCTCGAAACGTTTTCGGAATTCTTCACTAAGTGCAGGTACTTGAAGTACGCTTCGGCACTCAAGGCATAATAGTTATAAATGTTCTGTTGTGTATTCTTCCAAATTTGCACTAAGTTTTTCAATTGTTCTTCAGTAGCATTTTCCAAAACGCCCACGTTTTGCAGCTGTGCCTGAATCATATCTGTTGTATTAATTTCATTGGAGTCAATGTCCTCTTCGCCAATAATTACTGATCGAGTCTGAGATAAAATCATAAATATTTGATTCAGATCATTCTCGGGTGTTTCAAAAGGTAACAGGGCTTTTATTTCCAAGCAATGTTCTTCTGATAAATTGTTCTTGATATTGGAACTGTGATCTACAATCTTTTTACCCCATTTGTAACACCATGTTCCAAATGCATTCCAGCTTTTTGCAATACTCTGGCACTGGTGAGCGCCAAACTGGAAAAGTTTACCAATGGCCATCTCATTCAGTGGAATTATGTTTGAAGCGGTCGATTCTATTGTGCCGATTTCGGGCAAAACCATAATTAACTTGCCCAACGGACTGTTAATTTCCGTTATGTTAATACTTTCGTTAGACTGCATCCAACCAGCCAGTTTCAGCAAGATTTTGCTGCTGATTTTCCGATGTTCTATGCTGCCATAATGTTCTGCGTATTTTGAAATGGCGGTTGAAACCGAGGCGCATAAGTTTAAGGCAATCGGACGAGTATCCTCACTGTGGTATGAGATTTTAATCAATTCGGGCATTGCTCTGGCGACATCTAATGTGTATATCGAAAAATCGGCGAATTTCTCCAGAAACTCGTTATGTGTGATTAGATTTAAATAATCGCTTGAAAATGTGAATCCTTTGTCTTTGAAAAACTTCATCAGTTGTCGCGAAGCCAGCGTCAAATTCTTCTCCTTTCTAGCTCGCTTGATAATGTCTAGCCTTAAGTTGCTGGAAAATATGTTAAAACCTTGGTTCTGCACTTTACTGAAATATTCAGACCACCATAGAATCTTTTTGAGCACCGACGTATCAACCTTTTCAATTTCATTCTCAAAGTGTTCAGACACTAAGAATACTGTATGAGCCGGAAAGCCTGCAGCAACATGTTTCAGACCTACTGCAACATACTGGAGCAATGAATAGTTTTGCAGAAATTCAGATGGTGCTATCGGCAACAGTGTTTGAATATTCTTCTGGATAACACTTAAACTATTGTCAATTTTATTCACATCGAAAGTTTCCCCAGCAGTTGCCAGTTTCAAGGCATAATTATACAGGTTTGTTTCAGTGGTTGTGTAATTTTCATAAATACTCCAAGTGGACTCTTCGTCTTTTATTTTCCAAGTGCCGAGAGAATTTATGCTGTGATAATCCACTTCCAAATTAAAAAGACACTTGTTGCATTCCCAATCTGTGGTGTGGAACCAGTATTTCTTACCATTGTCATCGGTAGTTTCCTTATCATTTGAGTGCCATTGAAACAAATCTATCCAGTTGTTCAATTCCTTGTAACACACGACAATTTGGTCCTGCATGAAATTGCAAACATCTTGATCTAATTTCTTGTCTTCTTTCTCCGTTTGACTTTCTTGTAAGATTTTCTTGTAACCTTCAACAGCTATTTCATATCTTTTGGAAGCTTGGTCGGCAGTAAACTTGATCCAAGTATATCTTTTACCTGTATGCAGTTTACACCAAGTGTAAAAACCATACAAAGCCTCTGGCTCTTTCAGGTTTAAAAGGGCTAGAGTGACAAACATAGCAACTCTTTCAAACTCTTGTGAATTAGCTTTTCCCTTACTGAGCAGATCCTTTAACATATATTGACCGTGTTTAAGGGCAATACTACTTTCTCCACAATGAAGAGCTATATGCATGACTACCATCCGGATTCTCAATAGCCATTCATTGCAAGTATTCATGTTTGCAATGAAAAATGATTTAACAGTTTTGCTTGGTTGGGGCATAGCTACCGCACAACCTTCCGATGCGTTGAAAATAGATTTTTCCAAATGTTCAACGAACTGCAAAAGTAATCGAACTCGATTGATGTTTGTCTCGTTTAATCTATCTGTAGTTTTCTTCATCATAACTAGATCATTTCCCAGCTGGTTTAGCGCATATTCAATTTTTGTAAAGGTCTCATTCGGTTTGCCTAAAGGGGTGCGCAATTTGTAGTTTACACAAAATTGAGCAGCTTCTAAAGTGCACCAGTTGGTCAACACCTGCCTTGAATTGACCGTCAAGTCGTAAAACAACTCCATATTCATCTGAGACTCACAATCTTGTGCCCAACAGGTTGTGAAAATTTCTTCGAGAAGCTCAGCGCTAGTGTTGTTTTTCTTTAACAAATAATTCATAAACTTTTTGAATTGTTCTGGATACATTTCTCCGACCACTGATCCATTCAAATGCAAATTTTGCGCCATGTAAATCATGAAACTGTTAAAATCTTTCGAATTGCAAGACTTTTGACTTGAGGTGTTAATCACATTTACTTTGTTGAACTCGACGATAGCTATGTCCCATGGAATGTTTGCTGATAGTTTGGAATATCGATTACACAGGTTTGGATTATTTGAAGTCATGTGCAATTTGCACAAATCGCTGACGCTGGTCAAGAAAACGTTACTCCAAGCCAGTTGCTTATTGCTGAGGAGTTTTTCAAGATTTTGACAAACTGCATCAATGACTTGTACATTAAAATGGTATCCGCATTTCACCAAGACCTCAGTAATGGCGGAAAATTTATCTTGCAAATAAAACGCTTCCAAGTAGCATTCAGAATTAATCAGAATATCATTCAGCCATTGTAGCAGAAGCAAGGTTACTTCCGTGTATGTTTCAATTTGAAGACATTTATGCAGGATGTCCAAAATGATTGCAAAATTACCAGAATTAGGTGAAGTATTCGGCACGTCATTTATACTCAGTCCTTCAGTCAAAGCAAATCGGTTAATATCTTGCTTGCTAGTGACCAAGTTGCTGTTCGATACAAAATGATTGTAACACTTGCAGTGGGAAAATAACAGATATAGCAAGCTGTATTGAACACACGGCGATTTTTTTGCTAACACTACGTCATATGGCAATAAATTTACACCGACAAGTTCTAAAATGCTGGGCTTCAATGCCCACATAACTATTATAGAACTTGCGTTTGCTAGCTGGGATAAACATCTCAACAGGAACATGACGGCATCATCTGCTTTTTCCAAAGTATTTGGGCCGGTCTTCTCATTTAAAAAGGGATTATTTTTTATAATTGGTTCATATTTAGGTACTATCTGTGTGTAAAATCGTTCCAAATCTCCTAACACATATCTATAGGCTTCTTGAAGCAGTGATACATTTTTCAAATTCAGCAACGCCTGGTAAACGCAAATCACTGCGCTCTGTATATTGGTGTAAGGACATGAACGCAGCTTGACAATATTGCTGGTTGGGCCAATTAGCTTTTCAATCAGTTCTATAGGCAGATTAGCGGACAATTCCCTTATGATTTTGGCAATGAACAGCAACATTGAAACAGTAGTATTGTCTTGAAAATCATTAATAAGCGCTAACTCCAAATCCAACAAAGTATAAACGGAGTTGCTCAAAGCTTGGGATTTTGTGTCCAGGTTAGGTAGCAATTGGCATATGCAGTCATTTCCAGCTATTACAAGATTCTCTGGTAGAAAAGATTCCAGCGCATCCGTAACCGTTTTTATAATCGTTCCTAAACATGAAACAATAAAATCGACTGTCACGGATTTGTTATTCGTTGGATGCAAATTCGTGTCTAGGCATTTTAAAACAGTATTTAGGGCTAAAATCAGGACGGTCACATGGTCAAGATTATCATCCAAAGATAATTCAGCATTGTAATTTGATATATCTTCCAAAAAATTATCTATCAATTGTACTGAAAAGTCTAGGTTGCATTTAAAGTGATGCGAGAGTTTCTGCATATTTCGTGAAATAAATTCTGTGTTGGATAGTGGTTGGCTGTGATCGACGTGCCAGCCGAACAGCAAGTCAATGGTGTCACGAAACTGATCATAAAAATCATCTGGATACATGTTCACTACAGTGACAAGTATTTCTAAAATTCCTTTAAAAATCTCTGCATTCTCTGTCACTTCAATGGAGCTTACAAGATTGTTTATCAACGTTTCTATATGGTCTTGGAGAACCGGTTTTTTCAATTCCATCTTGAATGTTTCCTTTAACGTTGACATTAACAAAATTTGCATCTCTTCATGACTGTTATTAATTTTCGTGAAAAGCCATGTATGATACCGTTCGAAGTCCCCCTCTTGTCCCATTATATAGCCCATTCTACCTAAAGCCCTTGCAGATTGTTGTTTGGCTAATAGCCCAGGAGATACTTGGAGAATATCGTACATCGATTCTCCTAATATATGAAATGCTTTTCTTACATATGCTGCATTGTCTGGTAATAACAAGACCTCTAATAGTTTCTTAGATATCTGTAAGGAGTTATCCGGGTTCACTTCGGTGTTAAGTCTTCTCAAGAGTTTGGATATTCTTGTATCCTCTGGAAGGTTGAGCTTGATGTCAGACTTCTTTTCAGGCTCGTAAAACTTGCCACGAAACCCTTAAATAAAGACATTCGTAGTATTTTATACTGAAAAAGAATATATTCTAAAAGCTAGCCTTACCTCCAGAGGCATCATGCCGAGTGTTTTCATATTTTCGGCCACTGTAGTAATTGTCAGAATAATCTCTATCATTTCGTCTTGAGACATCTCCCCGGCGACCCCGAAATCCGGATCTGTTATTAACAGGCAATCTAGCAGATCTAAATTCTGTAGATCTAGTGCGTGGTCTGCTAGTACCTGCAGTTAAAGAATTGGCATTTATTTACAGTGCAACTTTTTTTCCTTGTAGTAAAGGATTGTTCTTAAAGCAAACTTCGTGACTTGGAAAAGTGTGAAGGAGGCAAAAGATGCATAAAATGTGAGAATCTAAATCAAGTATCAAACAGGGAGGTGCAAAACTTTCCACTCGATAATTAAAAACGTAAAGTGTCATTTTGAAATGATTTGAACACAAATCTTGAAAAATCTATGAGCGAACGTTTACAGCTGAATGCGTGCCAGAAAGCCTTTGAAAGACTTGAAACAATATTAACTTTTTGAAGTTTATTTCCAGTCGTACTGGAAACGATAAAATTTTTGTATGATGTTTAATTATTGTTTATTGTCTAAATAATTGTCAATCAATTATGAAACATGCATTAATGCAAAAATGTTAATAGAAAATATTCAGTAAACATATAATCAAAATGCTAGTCGATGTGAACAAACTTGTATTTCAAAAAAATGCTTTACTTATCTGCTATTGGCAGTCAAAGTTCTTCCAAAAAATCACGCGATTTGTAATATTGTAATTATTTCACAATCGATATTAATAAAATTTTCTAGGTATTCATAAGTAGAACTTTTTATGAAGTAATTGCATGTGCTGCCAGAGACGGTAGTAAATTTTTTAGTACAAAAACTGTTTTTATACTGCAAAAATTTTTATTTAGTAGCTGGAATGATTTCATTAGATCATTGTTACGCGCGAAAAATGTAAGGTCGTGTCTCGATCAGCAACACCACATTATTACAACACTTTTTTATTCTTTACCAAACAGATTTGGAATTCATATTCTTCCTATATAATTTTGTTTAATAAGGACCTGTATGGACATGGACTATTTGTAAATTCTACGGACTAGTTATCTGTTATTTATGAGACTCTATGAGATAATATCTATATATCATCAAAAACTATAAGTACGACCCTAAATTAAAATTAATTGTTGGTACGAGTCATACAATTAAACTCTTTATTGGAATATATTTTGTATGCAATTTATAAAATAAATTAACAAATACTGTATTAAAATTTATAAAATGCCCCTTCAATTGACCAGCGCCTTGCGTTGCAAAACGTATCCACAGGAAATAAACAAAAAGTATACTTGTAAAATTTGTCATTATTTGATTTGATACAAAAATAAATAGCTTCGTTACTAAATTCATCTTGGATGTTTCTTTAATGTTAGCTTATTAATTATAGGAGTTCTATTAGATCGTAGTCTTAAACTTATCTAAATATAAATAATTTAAAATCAAGGTCGTTCTTGCAGTTTTTGATAATAAATTGATAATGACATTGCGAAGAAACGGATAGTATTTGAGAAAAATGTAATAACATTATTGCGACCCGCAGAATTCATGAAAAGTTGATAATGGTGGGCCGAAAACGAAACATTGAATTTCCGGTCTAATAATGTAATCTTGTAGAGAATGAAAAAGGGATGTAATAATGTGACAATTATTTTAAAATAGCTTGCCCAATAAGTTCAGAATTTGTTTTCATTGTTTGAGCAAATTTCAGTGTTTTTCGAACATTCCTGGAAGTAGCCGGAATTTTAAAATTTTTAATACACCGTATTAAATGCGTAACTTGGACCTAACTATTAGACAAAGCCAAACAACGTTTAGAGATTTTAGGTTTATCTTTATATGCCTTTGATGTTGAACTGCAAGAAACAAATTTTTTTGCTCAATTGGAAGCATGCCAAACTTTCAGAAGTGTTGCATTGCTTTATTTGCCACCCTGTAAAAATCTTATCTGAAGAACTAATTTTTTGTAAAAACACGTACCGATAGAAAAAGAATTGTACTACCGAACACTTCAAACATAAATCAAATAGCTCGCAGTAGACAGAATTTATCATGTTCTAAAGTTAGGGCGTTTTGGCAGTGGCACGTTTATTTGCTTGAGCAGTTTAGATTCAGATGATCAATTGTCGATAAACGAATATTTAAAGAAATAATCAAAGAGTTCTAATACTGCATAAACCCAGAATGCTGTTGAAATGGATAATTACATACGTAAGTACACATTTCTTTGCATTAGAATCTCTTCTTTAGCTATGATTAAAATGATAATTAAATATTTTCACCGCATCATTTCTTGAATACCTAAACGTTGTATGTTACTTCATATTGTCTTTTATTTGTCATTGGTAAAGATGCTGAAGATAAAGAATGCCTAGGCATTTTGCAGATTGCCGAATTTATAATGCTACCGAATATCCATTCGAGTGTTGCTGTTGGTTAAACCATCTTGCACATACATGGAAATAAACAGTATGATCATTCAACAGAATCAAGTTCATTGAACAATTTTTTTTCAATTTTTATTATTGTTTAGCAAACTCCTGTTGATCTCCAATTTCCACTTGATAGTGTTTCATGTTCAGATCATTTAAAAATCATAAAGACTGAGCATGTTAGCATCGCTAAAAATCGTGGTGGAAAAATTAATCTGGGTTAAATATTCACTGCAACTAAAAAATTTACCTAAACAAGCATCGAAACACAATACCACGTTTATTAGTTTGATTTATGTGAGAGATGGCATGTTAGTGGTGTTACTATTAGTGCTTAACCTGAATGTGGTAAAACTATGGAATTCGGCTTTTAATAAAACAGTAACTTGATAAACCAATAAATTATTATAAAAACCACTAACCAGTGCTCCTATAGCCTCTGTCCCTGGTATAGTTTGAATACCTGTTCAGCACCTCATGATCTCCACTTTCATCTGAATTTAGGCCTTCTGTTTCTGGAACGTCCCTATAGCTTTTAGATGACTTCAACTTATACACAGAAATGTTATTTGATATCATTGTATCTTATAACATTATTGATACACAATGTTTCTAATACACAAATACACCGTTTCATCTGCTGTGTAATCTACTGTTGGCCCTGCAATGGAAAACACTAGTAAATTATAATACATACACTTTGAATTTTGGTTGAAAGTGTTAACGGTAAATCTATTAAACCCTAATACCAACTAATATGGCAGAAAAGCGTGTTCGAAGGCTTCAAACTACCTTTTTGCCCTATCAAATTGCTGTCATTTTTTCTGACTTCTATGTAGGGTCAAACTTAATGGGCTATTGATAGATATCTAGTTGTAGTCGAAGAGATTTAATTGATTAGGTATTAAGAGAACTTACTGTTTTTATCAATCAGCAATACTTCACAATATAGTTTAACGGACCATGCAGAAATAAATCGTTTCGGATGCACCTTTATGTAGCTCATTGTGTGAATTTAACCACATGAGAAATGCCCCTGTGCGCATGTCATTTCGGAGACATTCGACAATTGACACCAGTCGAAACTTTAGGTATATATCTATAGGGTGGTCACATAAGTCGCCTATTCACTTCTTAGACAAGGAAAGAGAGACAGACTCACTCTCTTAATTTATCTAATATTTTTGCAGACACGCACGTATAACTGATGGAAAAGAAATTGATCACTCGCAGCAATCGAAAATAATCTAGATCCAAAACTAGGAGAAATTTACCCGTATAACGTTTAATTTCTAAAAAGAGATAATTCTAAAAGATGTTTGGGTGAAATGTTTTTATATCACTTAATATGTATATACTTTATACTGTACAACACAGAACTGACACACAGGGCTTAAATATTCAATACAATAATTTGTTAAATCTCTTTAAACACAGTTTATGTAAAAAATTCTCACATTGCCCAGCTTTCACGCACAGAAATTTCTGGTGTAGAAATTCTCAAATAAATATTGCACGTATACTTATTTTAATCCTTAGCTGCTGCCGACTCAAATAATAGTCTTGCCCATGTATTAAAGTTAATAAAGTTTATTTTATTATAGTTGATAAGCGTTTAATGTGGTAGTTTAGAAAACAATTTAAAAAATCAATACTAATTTTCTTAAAATTTTTAATTGTATTTCAAATAATGTTGCAAGTAGGAATCTGAAAAATTAAACGCCTCTAAACGTATTATTGAGCTTTGAATAGGACCAAATCGTCGGCCTGCTATAAATCTGTGTCAAACTGGATCTTACGTAGATTAATTTTAACATAATTTTTTCTAATTATATTGTAAATTATTAACATTATACTTACCTATTTTCAATGAAATCAAACTGACTGTAGTGGAAGCGTATAAATCAAGCACACTGTGTATTTCCATGACTTTTGTCAACTATTTAACTCGGGCTGCGCCATAGCGGATCTTTACACATTGTTTCTTGGATTACCATCTAGTTTTTCAAGCAAAATCTATTGTTTTAGTCCTTTTTTGTATATTTCCATCGATTTTGCTTTGTTCTTAAGATAATGTGAGAGTATTGAACACAAACTCTATCACACCTCAAGGCACTAATTAGGTTTACGTGTCGGAGTGACCGTAGGCAGTCAAAATTTACTCTGCTACTTGACCATTTGTCAACAAAATAATTGTTCCGGTATTTTAGAGCACAAACATTAAAATAACTGATCAACATCACTTCCAGGCAAAATGGTTTTAGTAAATTCCTTCAGATACCCTTCGTCCAACATCAGATACGAAAGGAGGAACATCCGAGCAGTTCTGGATAAAAAGGACTTGGGTTTAGGAACACTCTTTGTTAGTGAAAGGTAACTATAAACACTAACAATTTTTTATGAATTAAAATATAGCTCAGAGTTTGTTTTCCAGTACACTATGCTGGCAGGAAAAGGATAGTATTGGTTTTTCCATCCCCTACACCAACATATCCTTGCATGCCATATCAAGGGATAACACTGTGTTTTCTAGTGACTGTGTCTATATTAGTTTAGATGGCAGGTTTTACATGCCAGGTAAGCTCATTTGGAACTGCTTTTATTACTTTCTAGTTATTTACATAAAAGATCTAGGCAGAAAGTTAAGGTCTGTAGGTATTCTGCTTGAAATAACTGCAAGTTGAACATTTCAGGAGACCAGCCCCCTCAACAAGATGAGGACAGCGACAGTGATGCAGAATCAGAAAATGAGAGCAGTGAATTAATCCTGGTGCCCTACGAAGACGATGATAATGCCAGTATAGTTAATATTTATGAAGCTATCAAAGTTTGTCAGGTAGGTGTTATTTGAATATATTTTAGCCATTTATTTGCTTAAACAATAATATTAGTTCATTCATTTTTCTTTGGGGCAGAGATTTTAAATTGTCTGCTTAGAAGTTGGTGTAGGTTCAATACAAATTGGCATTGGTTTGGTTGGTTCTTTGGAGAAGGAAAACATTAATTAATAAAATGGTGATGGAAATATGAAAACGTGCCACAAAAAGTTTTCTTATTCTAATTAATTTTCAAATGCCCAGAAACGAATTAGCTTAAACAATACTATTAGGTCATTCTACAAATTGGATAAATATAAGAATTTTAAGCATGAACCCTGGTGGAATTCAAAGGTAGGAGAGATAAAAAAAGGATATACATAGAGTGTGGCTAATAGCAATCATCCACCAAGTTAAACTTATTTACCGGATATAAACGTTTATAACTTTTGATCATATTCCTAGTGGTGGTACGTTCATATTTAAATATCTTCTTCCTGTATATTTCAATGATTTTGCTTGGTTGAATGTTCCGAAGATATGCGTGTATTGAGGATAAAAGCGATAATAACTACATGTTATTAACAATTGTGTTCAAAAATTTCGTTTTAAATTTTCTCAACTGCGGATTTGCATTGTTGCGATTTAGTTCAGCTCGTCCGTAAAGCTCATTCACAAAATCCGAAGCTCGATCATCCCATGTTTCCTGTCGAGAAACGCTGATATTAATATGTATTGATATTTCCTTAAAGGAATTGAACCCGGACCCTGAAGACATTGATGATGATGATGATAATCTTTACGCTGATGCGGAAGACGAGTTAGAAGAAGGTCATTATGTTATTCAAGATAGGGGTGCAGGTGATGCAGGTTTGTGTTCATAATCACATTTATCAGTCGCAATTGTACAACATTTCAAAAGAAGGTGTTTAATAATTAATTTTGTTTTAGACATTGATGATATCGCTAGAAGATTGGAAGAACATTCAGTTGATGGCACTTATGCTCAGAATGGGAATGATGATGATGAATTCGAAGACGCAGACTAAGAACATCGTCTTCTGTTCAAAACCTGTATTCACCCATTATTTTCTATCAGCTTTTCAAATTCATTACCAAAGTTAGGTTCTTATATAACTAAAACTTTCTGTTTTTGTATGAGTGCTATAGCGATGTTAGAATACGATTTTAATACATTTTTAACTTTAGGACTAGAAGTTTTAAGTTTTTAGTGGTGTGAATTATTTAGGGCTTGATGACCCTTGCTTTTTGTATTTTTTGGTAAATATATTATACTTTTACGCCACCACATTACATATATAATTTATAGGAGTGTTTACCTGGTTACTTTTGAAAATGTGTTATATTCGAAAATAGGCAGTGGCTTGACCAGCTCCTCATCAAGTTTTGTTTAATTCCTATTATTGTGGACTTTCATTCAATTAAAGCGGAATGTATTTGCGGTTGCTTGGCTGCATTTTATGTGTAAATGTAAAATATAAAAAAGTATAAATGTTTAATTAATGTTATTATAGAAGGTATAAAACACACACGCACATTCGCATAAGACGTCATTGCTTGTGCATAGAATTTATTTATTGACACATTGACGTCTGTTTCATAACACAGATTACAGAGTAGATAACCTCTGTGATCTGTGGTTTCATACTTGTCTTTATCTTGTGTTTCATTTCGTAACACAATTGGGTTATGTTTCTGTTTATCGAGAATGTCCTATAATGAGAATTTCACGATTCTTTAATTTATCTGGTCCAGAACTAGGAATAGCACTATTTTTCGGCATTGGGGGAGGTATCTACATTTGGAGACCCACAGTCAAAAACGCATTTGATTCAGTAAATAAAAATACTGCAAAAGCACAACAGCCTGAAATTACTAAAGAATCCTAGCTAAGATGTTTGGAGCAAAGTACCAAGCTTGGACCAAGTCGAAAAAGGGAAATCCCAATGTACTGTTGTTCTCAGGTGCTTGCTTTATAATAGCTGGTGTCATAGCTTATAACGGCTTGTATAAACCATGGGCTAAGAAGAGGAAATTATCTGAATATGAAACACTTGCCAAAATTATATATGAGAGTGAAATCAAGCCCAACTAGTTATTATGAACAATCATGTAGATCATTTATTAGTTCTTAATACAGTGTTACTGAAAAACTGAATAGGCAGTCTTATTCCAATTTTCACTCCACCTCAGCGTTTGGAACGAACTCAGTTCATTCTTAAACTGAGTTTCAATCAGTTTCTGTTCGTCATTATTCGGAAAATTTTCGAACCAATTTAACAGCTTCCCAGAGAGTTCTTCTGAAGATTTGAAAGTGTAGCTATTCTTGCCATCTTCAACCAGTTCATATAAACTGCAAATCATTTGTGGTAATATACAAACATGTGTTAATTACATGTGTTTTACCAATTGAAATCATAGGCCAAGACTGGCAAACAGCATCCAAACATATCCACTACTTTCATTGGGAGATCCAAGCCGCTAGAGCTTGTGTGAAGGCAGATTCCTAAATCGGCAGAAGCTAAAAAGTGTTTAATAACTTGTCTAATCTTCGACCAGATCATGGCATAATATCTAGTAATGTTTCATTCAAAAGAGTGGGCTATCGGAGTCATTGCTTGAATCTGGTGAGTTTTTCGGACTTACGACTTTAGGGAATAATATTTATTGCATCTTCAGAGGTGATTCTCTCCAAAGCGTTTGAGCAAACCATTTAACGAGGGAAATGCTTTCAAATTAAAACCATCCGATCTGATAACCAGCGTAAAACTGATAACGCTTTTTTTAATAATCCTGAGTAAGTTTGAGGTAAAAGATGAATATTTTGAGGCTCATTATTTTCGCAACTTGTTGATGTACTTATTTCTGTAATTAAACCGCAGGCCTGTAAAATATCTTAATTTTGGGTGAGAATAATTTTTCTGTACTATCTAGTTTTTAACCGCCATTTATATCAATCCGACCGAATTGCCAGACACTAAAAATACATCGATTCTTCCGGATACCGAAGCTTAGCCCAATTTTAGTGTCAAATCAATAAGAATACCTAGCATTAAAGGGTAGTCTGAAGCCTCCAACCAAGGAGTAATCACTGTTACATGTCTCCAATTCTGCTCATGGATTTTTGTACAGTAGTACTCTTTCAAGTGCCCTTTTCCTGTTATAGCACAAATTAAAGTTGGAAGATTTCGTGGATTTTCATTTGTGTGCTGATCTTCATAGTCTGCAAAATTGCGTCGACTCGTACATTTTTTACCAGTTAGTTACTTACACGCTTCACCTCACCTTGCAGTGCTTTAAACAAAATTGAAAAGTCTTCGTCTTCAGTCCAGCTGGTACTCGAGACAATAAAAGCTGGCCTTTTGGGCTTTAATTCTACATTCCCATGCTCCTCTTTCGTGAGAATTGTCGACCCACCATCGCCCAAAAATGCATCGTACATTTGGCTCATTTTCATCAGAAATTCATGCTTTTCTTTCAACGAAATTGGCTTAAACATTGCGGGTGGTTTGTCGTAAAGAGTTACTGCTCTAGAAATGTGCGCGTTTTCTTCTGTGCTATATTCTAGAAACATATAGTTACTTGATATTCCAATTGTTGGCGAGATCTTTCCGCATTTCATTCGTAACGCAGAAATTATAATCTGCTTGAGCACCAATATAGGCCTCACATTTTTTGGTGATTTTCACCAGTATGTGCCCTTTCGGTAAGCTTAATGCCATAATTGTATGGGCATAATTATGCCAGTCTATAACCAATTTGGCCCTAACAATTCTGAAAAAAATGCCTTTGTAGGTAATGTAAACTGCGGTTTCTTACAACAATATTCAATACGTGTAAATTTGTCTTCCATGGATAAAATCGCATATCGACGACGTGCAAGTGTATAAGTTAAGTGCGACCGTAAGTACAAACAATTTTTAAACCAACTTTTCCATCTTCATGTTCAAAAGTGGGTCACTTGCCAGATCAATCGAAAGAACAAAAAACTAGTTAGGGAGCAGGATGTATAAATAATATTATCGCGGTAAATTGCAAAATGCATTGAGGGCTATAGATGGACCTAGAATTCCTATTGACAAAACAAACCAAAATTACGATAAAATAAAAACTGTGCACCTACTAAGTGTGCACAATGCTAATCTAAAATCATCGAACTTGTCTGAAAGGAAGTGAATTTGGAAAATTTGGAAAATTCAGAATTCAAGAATTCATTTTGGAAAATTCAGCCATACTAATTAATTTACTACAAATCATTAGTTTCACATATAAAATAAAAATTGAGGTGAATTGGAGCTGATTGGCAAACCAGCGAGAATTGCTTTATCCGATCTTGCCCCACAAAGAACATAATTCCAAAGAATTGCAAAATAGAAGACTAATTCGTACTTGCTCCAAATCTATATACGTAGTTTTAATTTATGCAAAAATAACTTCAAAACTGTTGCAAATAACCCACATCTTACAGTATTGGTGAGAATACTTACTTGCAAAACAGCCAACAAACAAACAGGCTGGGAATTGCAGGGGGGTTTTGAACCATTAAAACATGGGGTGTTCTAATAGAACACAGCAGGAACAACAAATTCAACGCTTGGAATATGGTTTTAAATGCATAATTTACGAGTTTAATAGGAATGTGGGGCATAGGTGCCAGGTAGTGGTAGTATATAGATGGGGCTTCTTTAATTGCATCCATGGGGTCTGTTTCTCCGTAACCCAGTATATCAACTTTGTGTCCCTTTTCGCCTAAGGACAGCGCATGATACTGCATTCTAGGGCTTCGCCCTATGTCCCCCAGGACTACAATGCACACTTTTTTCTTTTCTTCACACATATTTTACTTTTAATGACATACATAAACATAACCAATAAGTGTTCAACGTAAACAAAAATCTTCTTTACCTTAATAGTATGTAGTCTGTGCCTCAAATGTAGAGACGTAGATTTCAGGTTAACAGATTTTCTCAGGTTAGTTTTAAGTTCCAGTGAGTTTGTTTTGTAATTATTATTTCAAATTTAAATTTATCTATGACGCTCTGGATATTCCATAATGCCGACTGCAGGCCAAGGAATAATAGATCTGCTTTCCAAATTGGACGAAGACTCGGTATTTGCTTTATCAAGGACAGTTACCCAGGGTTTAAAGCGATGCAACACTATTAAAGGTGTGTGTACTTTTTTATGTATATTTCGGGTTTGTTATTTATTATATTTGTCTTCATTTATTCATAAAAAAGTGGACCTTCATTTTCCATCGAATATCCTTGGTTTTGGTGTCTCCAAGTGGGTTTTCTCATGTTAGAACCTTGCATTGACTTTAGGGGCGCAAAAGTGGAAGAATTCATTAAATCAGGGCGATCTCAAAGCAACTGGCATTAACTTTACGACAGCCAAGCTTTTCAGCCGCATTGTTATAGAAAATTCAAGTTTGTTTACGGTTTTCGACTATATTTCAGATAGACAACTGAATATTTGTATACAAATTACCAATGCTTTCGGCTACTTACTTTCTGAGAGTTTAGTCGCAAATTTTCTGGTGACCATGGTGGATTTGGTGCTTGACTAGCACTATTTTGCCCCTAATTTCTACTCCACTGGGAATAATTATACTTTAAAAGCACTATACACAAAAGCTCTAAGTGCAGTCGTTTTAGAAAAAACTAAATTTTGGTGGAGAAAAATGTAAGTGCAAAAGACGGAAATTATACCTTATAAAATACTTTTTACGCGCAACAGTCAGTTTTTCATTAGTCTTATGCGTTTGTCATAATTACTGGTTACCCCGCCAGCACCAAACGTGATCATAACGTAAAAAAGACAATAATAATATAATGGTACTTAATAACTACTTAATAATAATAGTCACTAATTTCATCATGAACTAAAGAATGTGGAAGTGCCCTGTTGACCATGTGCTGACGGGACACTCTGTATATTACATGACTAAAACTCTTACTGTATAATTTTTTTCCATTATAAATAAGAAGTTTTTATTTTATTAAAAACGCTACTAAAAATTTATGTCAAAATCACGTCTCTAACGACTCTTGCGAACCAAAATGTCACATGTCCGAACCTCAGCACATTATTACGTGATAGTCACGTAATATGACGTTTTCGTACAGGCGTTGATTGAAATATTATATATATGCTCCTTCAATCAACGGTGCAGGCTTAAAGTAATTTAAGAGCCATCAGCTGATTTGTTCAGTCGCCACCAAAGACAAAATGTGCTTCAGTATGTATGTTTAAAATTCTAAAATTACATTGTGTGAATATTTTCTGTGCCGCCATGCACAGTTTGTACCAATGCGCTATTTATTCTTATTGTTTTAGAGGCAATTGACACAATAATAAAATACTCGGCCGATGAAATAAGCATTTTGAGGCGCAAAGTTATAACTAGAGAGATTTTATTTAACTACTTAGAAGCTAACAACATTAGAGTACGAATGCCAGTAACGAAAAATGATTTAATTGATGCTGTGGTAGACGCTTGGGGGTTGACACACAAAACTTCCCAAAGTAGCATTTTGAGCTCGAATTCAGATTCTAATGCTGTAGCATTGAATGAAAGAAGTGAGAAGCCGGAGAGCAATGTAAATGTAATGGCTGAGCAGTTTTCCAGATGGTTCTATTCAATGCTTAATGGCGATGAATGTGGAATTGAACATTTTTTTCCAGGTAATCAACGTACTGTTATTCGTTTTGTGTTTGTAATAATTTTTTGATCCATTTCAGATGCAAGCTTCAGTCTAAATATGTACACGAATAACCATTGTGACTCCACACGAATTGAAGGCGATGCCACGAAAATAGCCAACAGTTTATTAAAACTTAAGTCGCAGAATAATCTCCATTTTAATCCCAATGACTCGCAGGACGGAATTCAAGGGAGGATAGATCCACACGGTCTAGTGATGGTGCTGACCTGTGGAACAGTTCACTCTCAAAACACTTGTGCGGGTGTATTTGAACAAGTGTTTGCTTTAGCTCGGGATCCATTCTGTGACAATAATTGGAAAATCAAAACGACTTCCCTCAATTTAAGGTCGAAAAGTGATGTGCTAGAACTACCGAAATTGTGTGATAGTGATCTGACTAGTGATCTGTTAATGTTGCCATTGGAGTGAGAACTGATTTGTTATTTTTAATAATAGTTGAACTATAATCAATATTGTTTTCTTGAGTAATATTGATTATTTTGTATATGTTGATTTCCATAGCGAATTTTCCCTAATAAGAAAAATACATTAATGCTCCTTTGGCTCCCATTTGGACGACCCTCTAGAAGAATTCTCAATTGTTATGTTTAGATGCTTTAAAAATTAAAAAAAAAGGCATTTGCTTGAAGCTAAAACTCTGAAGTGCTCAAAACTGCTATTAACATCTATCGGAATTTACTAAGTTTGTGGAAAAAAATCAAACCACAGCGTTTAGCGCGTTTATATTACTGTAAATACTAATTTATAAAATATTGGACTTCTAACTGTCTCTTAGTAGTTGAAAAATGCTGGGGTTTAAGGCAATTAAAACGCGAATTTTGTCTCGAATACCTACAAAAGTCTATACATTTCGCAACTATTATTTCCTAAAAAATAAATCAAAGGAAAGGTTTCGGTTAAATTATATTTCTTTTATATTAAAAGAAACAGAAAAATGCTCTTTGGGATGAGATTTGAAAAACATTCAATTTCTATAAGATGAAAATGCCGATAATAACTAAATAACACTGAATCGGTTATTTGGAAAAAATAAATTTATACGAATTAAATGCTTTCTTTCTTTCGAAAACTGTTTGTTAGGATTTTTTTAGTTTTTTTCGGTACCTACTAAAATTAATATTTTAATTGTTATTCGGTTAATGTGTAATTTTGATAATTTTTATAATTTTCTGACACATTAAAGTATTTTATTATAGAACTAAATTTTAGAAGACAAAAATGTTTCCTTATCGAATAATGCTCCAGAAGAAAAATCGAAGCGAACTTAATAAATCAATTGACTGCGTCTGACCAGAAAATTAAAATCGTAATTAATCTAATTTTCTTTATGGGAGTTTGCTTATTAAAACTGAAACTGAAACTCATCCGTTCTAGTCAGTTTTTATTTAGTTACAATTATTGTTGTAACTTGTTCTTTTTACATAAAATTTCAGTATTTCCTGTTTTACAACACGCCACTAACTATAAAAAATTGTTAACGTAAATAAACATTTTAAAAAGTTTAGATTAATGTTTTTTCAGTGTATTTCCCAAGTAACACTCAACTGAAAACTATTAAAATAAAAAAAAATAAATATCCATAATCTGGGAGTTTGTTAGCGGCAGTTGCGTCACGCACGTATTGTGATGGTGGAAATATTCCCTTTCACGTGTCATAAAGATCCGCTGTACCGATTTCACAGACATTCCAAATCTTTTGTTTATATACATTTTTTATAGGTTAATTATTCTTGTTGTTTGGTGATGTTCTTTATATTTCACGTTATACTTTATTTCTACCATTAGTTAAACAGAATTTGTACGATGAAACCCAAAATCAGTACTGGCTATTTTACTCCGCAAGCCAAGGGACAGAAAAATAGGCGGATAAATCGATCGTCCGATGGGGAAGGTGAAGGGTTTAATGAAAATCTTTTCCGAGAATTTATGCGATGCCCTCGCAATAAAAACGCTGTTTTGCAACTTTTATCCGCTAATAAAGAAGCCATTAAACAGTACTCAGAGAAAAATGTAGAACGGTCAGTTGCTAGTCCTGCGGACAGGCTTAAGGTTACAAAGAAGCTGTGTGAAAGCCCTATAGCTTTAATGCGAAGACGAGCTTTGGAACAGATGTATGGAAGTCCCAGTTCGTCAACCAGGTAATTGTTCTTTTTTCGTGATAATGTTAGTTTGGGATAATTTTTACTCTTTTGCATAACTGTCAGTTATGCCATTAATTAAGCCATTTGAAAGAGGTACAAAATTCTTCAAATGCAAACAAAATACTGAAATCAAATCAGTTGTTTATTCATTAGAATGTGAAAAGGATAGTTTGGATCGGAGTTGACAACAAAGATTACTGTTTGGAATTAGTATTTAAGCCTGGTTTAAGTGGAACATTGACATTTAAGTGAAACTCTTTATACCAGGATGTTTCATTAATACACCGACACGCTTTTAGGGGTTGTAGCAAAGATCAAGATAAGCATATTTGGTTCATAAACATATACCAAAAAAAAGCAGCGTTTTCGAGATATAAGGTGTCGAAATTATAGTTGCCTGAGTTCTTTTGCTCTATCTATTCTAGTTTTCTTATTCCGTTCTGACTCTTTTCACATTGAATTTCGAACATTATATTATGCTATAGGCTCTACTGGTTGAATGTGGTAATTGGGTGTCAGTACGTACAGGGTGATATTTTTTAGGAGTCACGTCGTTTTTACCATCCCGAACTTTTTATGGTGCGCCACTGAAGGCGCCACACATTTTTCTTATTCCTATGCCTTGTTCAATTTAGCAACTTTCTTGTCTCTTGAATTTATTTCGTATCGGAAACTGGTTCCCAGTTATTTGCAAAATAATTATTTAATCTCTTACTGTTAATAGCGTGTAATTTTGCATGTATTAGAACGACGGCAGGAGAGTCCATAAGCGTAACTAAATTAACAGTATTTATCACGGCATTATTAACTGTTACTAAGGGTTACATTGTACTGAGGTGCTGGTTAAGTATGATTAATTAATCACCTCTGAAGATGCACGCAACTCCTGCTTGAAAAACGTGAGGAAGAAATTTTAATTCATGACGACCTAAAAACCCGAAAAGCTCATAAGTTTTAAGGAATGATCTCGAAAGCTCATGTCTCGATATTTCTATTAAAGGTCAGGTAATTCCAAAACTCCTTCGGAACAATCTGCGAGTGGCAGTAACAAATCTAGTTTAATACCGTTTGAAAAAGTCCTCGATGGAGTAGTTGCATATGCAGAAGTCAGAGGACGATTCGATGAAGACAGATCAGCGGGTGTTAAATCAGTGTTAAAATCTATGGGTGCTGAAGTGCGCGAAAAATTTACCAGAGATGTTACTCATGTCGTTTTTAAGGTAAAATAAATTTTAATATTTGCTTTAAAAATGCTTAATCACTTATCTTTCATCCCAGGATGCTTCTTATACAACTTTTAAAAGAGCGAAAGAAAAGAAAACCCATTTGGTCTCAATTCTCTGGGTTGAATCTTGTCGGACAACTAAGCGAAGACAAGACGAAAAAAACTTCCCCGCAATGAATGGTGGATACGGTAATGAATCTATGATTTGTTCAGTAAGTTGTATTATACAATTAAGAATAAGTTGAATTACAAAAACGTATTTTCAGCAAATGCAAAAAGAGTACGAGGGCATTATTCATGACGAGTACAAGCAAAACGTGATGCAGGGTGCAACACCAACGTCCAAGTCTTTTGTAAACCGCAGAAGAACTTTAATGACTCTGTTTGTTTCTCATGAAACATCAAATCCTCAATCTGCTACAATTAATGAGATTAAGGGTAATCAAATACCTAGTGCTAAAAGATCGATACTAGTTGAAGATGACCCAGTGTCCAATACTTCCAAGGAACATTTAAATTGGTCTGATATGGAATTAACACACATTCCAAATCAACCGATTAACGACCAAAACGACATTCCTAGACAAAGTCAATTCGCTATTAAATTTGACAAAAGGAAAACCATATCTGGTTCCTTATTCACTTCTGATGACTCTTCCTCTATAAATCTTATATCTAGCGACAAATCCTCAAGTCGTTTGTGTAAAAAGTTGATCACTACAGGATCCCGTTCAGTTATAGAATTAGACGAGTCTGTGATTTATGGGAGAAATACAGCGGGAAAACTGAAGAAGTCGCTAGAAACCGACACGGAAATGTCTGAGTTGAAGCTGTCCAGTGAGTTCAATTGTCCTAAAACTTCCTCAACTAAAGTTTCATCGGATTCATCTAAAACCATGTCCAATTTACTGCTATCTTCGTCGCCAAAAGATTGCTCTGGGCAGAAGGCGGGACAAGCAAAACCTGCAGGTAAAAATTCGAATTCAGTAAGCTCTGTGAGCTCTGTCATGTCTTCGTTGAGGCTCGAGTCAGAAAAAGAGAATTGTGTACCAGAGCAATCGTCTTTAGAATCCGCATCCAAGTTGAGCGAAAATAAATTGATATCACATCTGAGTTCTAGTGAAACCAGCAATCCACAAAAATCATCAAGTGAAAAGCAGAAATCCAAGTATACATCTGATATGATTCTGCAAGAGAATACTTCTTTGGTCAAATCCTCCACAGCGCCAGCAGAGACCGTCAAGAAGAACAATAAGAAGCAGTCGCCTTCTGATTTGGGAGGTGCGAGACGATTTTCATTGCGAAAAAGAAATAACTCTAATCGCCGGGCAACTGATGTTTCATCTTCCGACAGTAGTAATGACGATATTAAAAACCGCGTAGTTAAAGGCATAATAGCAGATTTGGAATCACAAGACAAACTAACATCAGATTTAACAGCAGCCCATTCGTCTTTGACTGAGGACTCGGAAATTATTCCTCCATCGCACAGTCAACGCCCCACAGTAAATACCTCTAAACGAAGTTCACGTGAAGCAGGAACCAAAAATACGGACAAAGTTGCGAAAAATAAATCAGTTAAAAATGTGACTGCAAAGAAAAGAGCAGAGTTGAGTTCTAAAGCCAGCTCTGTTGAGAGTTTAAATGATTCATCGGATGGATCGAGAAAAATGCGAAAACTTTACAACCCGGATAATTACGTAATGCAATTAGATGAGTCTGTTGACGATGAAGCGGAGAGGCAGGAAAAACGCGACTTAGTAAAGAAAACAAAGCATGTTGGAAATACCATTAACCCTTTTGCCTTACAACTAGAGGATAAAGTGGACGTAGTAATAACGTCTGAAAGTGATGAAAGTCCTCCAAAAATACGAAAAATTACAAGAAAAGTTAAAGATCTTACGTTGAACCAATCAGCCGACGAACAGAAAGACTTGTTGAACTTCGTGTTGAGTAAAAACGCAAACACGCCTAAAACACAAAAACCAAATGCAACTTGCATTGGAACTCCAACACCAAGAAGATCGATCAGACTTATTAATAGTAAATCTGCCCAAAAGCCGGTTGAAGTTTCAATGACACCAAAAAATAGAAGAAGTACTATGGATTTTGTCACTAGTTCTGAGCGATCATGCAAGAAATCCAAAAAGAAAGTTGACAAAACTAAGCTACCCACAATTGTCTGCACAAAACTTCATAAATCCCAAGTTCAGGTACGTTTATGCTTAATTAAATAAAAATCTGCTTACTCAAAGCCAAGACTGAAATGCGTAAAGTAAGATGTGTAACGTAGGTGAAGTTCTAGTGAAGGAATTGACATGCATTTCAGGTTTTCGCCGAGATCGTCAAGAAGTTAGGGAGATTTACCATAGAAAACGATGTTAGCGATAAGACGACCCACTTGATTGCTGGAGAGTCAAAGAGAACCGTCAATATGTTGAGGGCAGTTACCCGCGGTTGTTGGGTACTTACATTTGATTGGGTAGGCTAATTTTTAATAATAGGGTTTAATCTAATTTTTAATTAAGTTTAATTTAACAACGAAGAGTTTACATAAAGTCCCTTTGGTTTACTTGAACTGCTAATGGAGTTGATGTAGTGTTTTGTTGAATTTTTGGTGTTTCAGGTGCTGCGATCTTTGGAAGAAGCAAGGTGGTTATCAGAAGAAAACTTTGAGGTGACGAATTTTTCTGGCACGGTTCAGGTAAGTCGCTATTAATCGTTATTTGATGTTCAGTTGAGTAAAAAAAAACACTTTCTTCAAGAGGGAGGATTAGTTTTTTGTCTGAATATTGAACTGAACACTAGTGCGGAAAGTACAGCTTTTCACCCGAAAGTTGATTGATTTTTCGCCCGAAAGTTGGTACTTTACCAAACGTGACTAGAAAAATTTGTTTTTTTTTTGTAACTCTGTGTCAAAAGTAGGATTTTGGAGCCGATAAATACACGTCTAAATGAAAATGTTTAGAAATCCATTTTGGCTCCAGTTTAGGGACCCAATAAATTTTCACAATATTATTGAAAACTGTAAAGTTTTTTCACTATTATTATTATTCACTATTATTATATAACATTTTATCATTATTAAATTATGATTATTATTAATTTATTTAATTTCATTAATTTATAAATTTTAATGGAACAATGGTTTTTGAGAGAAACATGAACTGTTGAAGCTCTACAGTTCGAACTTTTATATGTTTCAAGATAGTAAGAATACTTTGCTTTTTAAGCTTTATATTATCGAGTCTACAGGCTTTAAAGCCGTTAGTATTTCTGTAAACCCCTAATCGTGCCTAGAAGATGAATTAACATGCAGTACTTTACTATTTAGCAATTACTTTTTAATGATAAAGTCATGATTTGTTGTGAAATATTTTATAACGATATGTTTTGTACCTCCAAATCCAAGAAATAGGTTTATTTCTTGCCGAAAACTGAGTAGTTTTTCCGCTTTCACGAATCTCACAAAACGAAGCGTTTCTAAATTGCTTTTAAGAGAGTGAAAAGAAAAGTGGCCTATTCAAGATTGAAACTGTTTCATTGAAAGCATAAGAGAAAACTGAAATATTTCACGCAACCAATGACGCAGATTTTTCAGATTTTAGAAAAACTTTTCGTCTAATTACACTCAATAAATGAGCTCGAGGATACTCTGATTAACACTCCCTAAAACAAATCTAGCTTTAACTAATCTAAGCTAGATTTGTTAGCAGCTAAGAAAAGACCAATTTCTTAACTTAGCGTGGCATATTAATAGTTATTATTGAATTATTAATCAATTTCTGGAAACTCTTGTGGCAATGATTTGTAGACTGAAGCTATATTTTTTTATGTAGTAGTATTTTTTATTTATTTATCAGCAAATCGTATTTCAGAAAGCTCGTCTTGAGCGTCAAGCATTTGGTTCAAAATACACTTTAGATGTGTTCGATAATTGCCCACCGATTTATGTGGCTTTATCAACAGCGCCTCGTTGTTCCGATTTACAAGAGCTGATAACTACTTGTAAAGGCAAGGTGGTAACCATTCCAAGACTGGCGAAAATCATCGTAGGATTGTACCTGGTGCAGGAAGACACTGTTTGCGTAAACGAAACTTGGGTACTGGACAGTATCATGTTTTACAAAAAAATGCCATTTATTGAACGATATCTACTTAAAAAAAATAGGGAAAGTCTAGTTGTATAATTTATACGCAAAATGTGATCGATTTTCATTATCTAATCTACGAAGTTTCGTATGAAAATCAAATGTTAATTTATTAGGAAATACTTGTGACATACGCAGAGCGTTGTTTTGTACAAATGTGTTGTTTAATTAAGACTTTTATTGTAATTTATGTTGATCATAGATTTACACTTTTTGTGTAAACATATAAATTCAGTGTATACGGTCTGACGCGCCTTTGGCAAGGAAAACTATACATAATCCTTCAAGTATATTAAATTTTACCATTTTACCCGGCTAGAATATCACGTACTTACCACTAAAGGGAAGCTAAATTTACTTCTCTGGCAAGTCGTGTTTGTGTAAAAACAAATAATAGAAATATTGTGACAATATCTATGATAATAAATGTTTTACCAATTATTGGACTGTTGTTTTACAGAAACTTGGTTTTGGTGTTAGTACTTGGTTGGTTGCCGAAAAACTGCAATTTTTGTATTTGATACTATTCTACAGAGTGATTCAAAATTGGCGTCATTCCTCTGGAGGTGTTGTCTGGGGGTGTTTTAGGAGTGCAGAAAAATTAGTAAAAAAAAAACAATTGTTATTAAAGACTGATAAATTTTCAAAAAACTATATCAGAGGGACGGCAACAATGTTTTTCAACGTAATCTGCCTAATTAGCGTTATGTAAAAGCCTGTTGCTTGGTACTTATTATTAAAAACTCCGGTAACCATTGAAAAATAGAAAGTGACAATAAAATAGATAAGGATAAACGGTAAATTAAACAGGATTTGTTCAATGTAGGGATCTATCTTTTTCGAAATGTCAAATTGTCAACGAGAAATTGTTCTTTGTTGTCTTCATAATCTCGAATTGATGTGTATACAAATAAACATACATTTCTGACTTTAACTTCAAACAACTTAGTGCCTGTGTAATCACCTTATTGTGTACTCTTCTCTCTTTATTGACTTTGGCACTGACTGTCAGCTAACTGTTTTGACAACATTTTCAAAGTTTTTTTCGAAACCTTTTTTCCACCAAGGATCAAGAAAATCAGTATACGATGCGCGAGTCGAAAGTCGAAGGAACTCCACTGCGTGCCTGACGTCAATTTCAAGCAGTGGTGAAACTTCGACTTTCGTCTCTTGTACCGTAATATGACATATCCATAATTTAACTAGAAAGAGAACATTAGTACAATAAATACAAGTTATCATAAAATATTAAAAATTTAAACCTGCAAGAAAAAACGCAAAAAAGCGGAGTAAAGAGTAGAGACATTTTAGAGAGTTACTTGGTGTACCTGATGCAAATTGACTATTAAAAAAATATGCACCTAAATAATATAAGAAAATATAAATAGTTGAAAACTGCAAAAAACCTTGCAAGTAGTAAATCTATTGTTTTCAAGCATTCGTAAAACCGAGAACGCCGCCATTTTCGAAAAGCCGCATTATGCAATCCTCGCAATAAAAATAAGAATTCCGCAAAGCCGCAATAGAAATTTCGCAAAAACCGCGGTATAAACTCAGAAAAACCCCAAATTCCCAATTTTACCTAAAAGAAATCGCCATTTACTGGTTCAAATATAGAACAGTCTAGAGACTGTTTATAACAGACTAGAGAGAGACTAGAGTGTTATAAAATGTTGATATGGACCACTTACACCCTGAAAGACGCTGAACGGCAAAAAAAACTGGGACAGTCGGTCGCATCCTGGCCGCTGAAAATCCCTAATGCGAATCATTTGTTTGGTGTGTTCAATTTGGGAAAACTGCGCGATATCTAAATGTGTAGGCCAGGACCTAAGGCGCTGTCGTTCAGACCATCACAAAACATTAAAAAAGTTCTACCTACCTTTAGGTAATTTGGTCTGAATTTTGGGGTATTTTCCCTTTTCAAAATAGCAAAAACGTTAGTTGATATATCGCAATAGAACCCTTATTGTTCATTTAGAATGTGAAGTCTATCTTGAAAAACTGAGTGAAAAATTTATAGTTTGAAAACTCGGACTTTTGAGCCTACCTTCCAAAGGCTACATCAGACGGTCAGTAATTTTATATTTTAATTGTAAAGGCTCATAAAAACCGTCGATTGTATAAACTGCATTTGTTCACATATAATACTAATATCTGACTTTAAATTAATTTAACAGCAACCAAAATTGAAAATTTTAAAACCCCATCCAGAAACTCCCTCGACGAATAAATTTCACATGTAACAATAATGTAACAATAATCATAAAATACCCAGCAAATATGCGCCTAACAGTCATCTACATGGCAACCAGGAGCAAAGTAATGCCAAACTTACCGAAAGCTGCATCGCGCCACCTGGAAAGAAAGACAAACATTCTTTAGCATGACAGAAACTTAGTCCAAACTAGTTAAAATGAGCGAAGAAAAAATGGAAACAAAAAAGACCATTAAACTGCAGTTGATCTGAAAACACTAATTTCGGTTCAAGGGGATTAATCGATAGATTTGATTTTTCCAGCTTTCTTCAAGCTCCTGGTGCCTCATCCTCCATTTTTTTATCCATTGATCCTCAAAAAGCTCACACTATACTGAACAAACAATAAAGACCTACTCCAAATTTAATACTGTAATTCTGCAGTTAACGGCTTTCTACTTATTCATCCTCAAAAACTCACACTCCGCTTAAACACACAATGAAGATCTACCTCGAATTAAAAACGATCTACTGCACTTGCCATAATGGCACCGCACCAACTCACTCTAGAAATCCCGGAAGAAAGAAAAGACCGGCGACCTTTTTCGATCGTAGCCCGTAATAAACTGAACATTTACTCGGCTTTTCGAAAAAAAATCATACCGTATTGAGGTGTTTACCACATTCCGAACGCACCGAACTCAGAACTAACATAATGATATAATCGTTTGCTTGATCATCCTTTGTATGCATTATCGCTCATACTTTGCAGTTCGATTTCAACTTTTTTGTTGTTTACAAAGTGGCAGAAAGTTGTATTTATACTGAAATATTTCCAAACGCAATTTTCACGTTCAAACTCGTTTGGATGGTCGCCGTAAACAAAACAGCTTTCTCAGCCAAAGATAAACATCTCCAAAAAAGGGTAAATTTTCATTAAAAAAAATAATGGTGGCTCTCGAATTGTCTTTTGCTCGATTTTTTTTATGAAAGTTTGATTCTTTTCAACTTTTTATGATGCGTAAAGGCTGCCGCACGGCAGATCCGCATTCAAAATCCGCCATGATTTTGATTGTGTGGTATTTTCTTTTTGGTGACACCGTTAACACAAAATATCCCCCCATTCTGTAATTAGTTTCGCTCCATTTCTATGAAGCTTTAAGTTCGAACAGCTTGAAATCTTGTGCAGCAGTGGCCTCAAGGGCAAATTCACATTCGCCATCGAGCCAGATCATGATTTATGAATGATTTTGTTTTCTAGCATTTTCCAAAGCTACGGAATAATTAACTTGATTTTCACACGAGCTCTCACATGAGCCTTTTGCTAGATTGTATGAAACGTCGGAATTCTATAGCTTAATATGTTCTGTAGAGGCTGCCTGAATGGCAGTATCATATTCACGTCTATGCAAGGGCGGATCCAGGGGGAGGGTCATGGGGGTCATGACC